TTTTATACAATACCTGACCACAACTCCTTAAAACTGTCAAGGTTAGGGCCCCTGGGTGGTTCAGATGGTTAAGCGTCTGCCTTCGGCTCAGGTCACGATCCTGGGGTCCTGCGATCGAGTCCTGCGTAGGGTTTCCCAGCTCATCGGGGAGCCTGCTTCTCCCTCTGCCTCTCTCTCTCTCATGAATAAATAAATAAAATCTTAAAAAAAAAACAAAACTGTCAAGGTTATCAAAAACAAGGAAATTCTGAGAACCTGTCACTAAGGAAAACTAAGGAAACCACATTTTCTTAGGTTTTACCTGAAGTTCTTTTTCTCTCCCAGGATCCCATTTAGGGCACCACATTACACTCGCGTGTTGCTTCCCCGGTGGCCTCTCTTGGGTACAACAGCTTTGCAGATGTTCCTTGTCTATGATGAGCTTGACAGTTTTGAGTAGCGGCCAGGTATTTTGTAGAGCTGCCCTCCAGGGGGATTTTTTGTTTTTTCTCTAGATTAGCCTGGGATTGTGGGTTTGGGGAAGACTGCAGGGGTGAAGCATCATTCTTTTCACATACGTCAGCCTCTTGAGTTACTTTATAAATTTCCATACATTAAAGTTTAGTCTTTATGCTGTAAAGCTATTGGTACAGTTTTTAAAAAGGCTTTCTAATGGATACATAGAGAAATCTCATTGTGGTCTTCATTTGCCTTTCCCAGATGATTAATGTCAAGTGCTTATTGTATTTGCATGTCTTTCTTTGGTAGGTGTTCACCCATTTTGAATGAAGTCGTTTGGATTTCTTTTTATTGAATTGCCAGTCTTTCCATATGCTGGAGATGGCTTTCTATATAGCCCTTTTTCTGCCCTCTTGCTCTAGTGTCCCCACGGTGGGATGTCAGCTGCGCTGTGCAGTCTTGCCTTTATGGGTCCTGCAGAGAGGTCTCTGATCCACTGTGCCGGGTCCTGGTGCTCTGAGTCAGGCCCACGCTCTCTAAGAGTGGAGTCACTAACTAATGGCCTTGTCAGGTTGGGAGGGGCACCTTCTGGAAAAAGGGATGTTTTTACCAGAGGAACAGAAGAACAAAGCAGAAATGGTAGAAGCTTTCCATTTCCCACACGTGTGACCTTGGGCAGGTTACTTCACACCTTCGTGCCCATGTTTCCTCATTCATAAAATGGGGATGATAATCATATCTATATCATACGTCGTCAGAGGATTTTTTTTTTTGTAAAAGATTTTATTTATTTATTTGAGACAGAATGAGAGAGAGCACATGAGAGGGGGGAGGGCCAGAGGGAGAAGCAGACCCCCCGCTGAGCAGGGAGCCCGATGCGGGACTCGATCCCGGGACTCTGGGATCATGACCTGAGCCGAAGGCAGTTGCTTAACCAACTGAGCCACCCAGGCGCCCACGTCGTCAGAGGATTACACGAAGGCATGCAAAGGCTTAGTGCCAGGCCCATCACTTGCATTTGACACATTTGTGGCTGTCACTGTTGTCAGTCATTGATCAGATCTGGCCGAAGTTCTGGAGGAGGACCAAAGTTCATATGCTTGGATTGCCCTCCGGGGCACCGCAGGCCTGCAGTCATTTAGCGGAGCTCAGATACCACTCTCTCCAGGAAGCCTTCCCCAGCTCTCTTGCCCTGCTTCTCCTCTCTGTATTTCCACCCAGTAGGAATTGTGTTCCATTCGAGCACATATAGTCTGGTATTTTAACATAGTAAGTGCTGAGGAAAAGCTTCTTGTTTAACAGAGAAACAGCCCGGCTTATTTAGCAGACCAGGAATGTAAATTGAGTCATTTTTCTTGGTGCATGATGGGTGATAAGGTAGGTGGGGCCAAATTGAATCTGAGGCGGTGGGGTTTCAACTTTGATCGTATATGCAGTGGGAAGCCAGTCCCCCAGAGGCAAGGACATGAGGAA